TTATCAAGTATATATATTTAAAATTTTATATAAATTAAATAAATATTTATTGAATATAAGTAAAAATAGTAATTATAATTTTTTTGTAATGTATTATAACTATTTATATAATATAAAATTAATAAGATTATAATAAATATTAATTAATAAATATAATAAATATAATAATTAATAAAATATAAAATATATTATATTATAAACTAATAAAATATAAATAATAATCATAAAAAATAATAAAATAATAAATAAAAATTTTAACTACAGTCATATCTCTATATAGTTATCTCTTATATAATCACAAACTTTATATAATCATACAATTTTGTGTTCCTGTTTTTTTTATTTAAAAATACTTTTTTATAGTCACATTTCTTTTATAATCACTATCACATTTTTTTTGAATCTTTTATTATTAAAAATACTTCTATATAATCACATTTTGTAATCATATAATCAATAAATAATATATAAAAGTAAAAATTTTTACTTATTATTATTTAAAATATCTAATGAACTAGTTAATAAAAGAGTGCAAATTGCTATCAATAACAGTTTAAAATATGAGATTTATGAGTATAATGATAAGTATCCCAATGAAAAACAATTAGATATTGCAAAATATTTTAATGAAAAAGATCAAACTCTTAATCTTGACTGCTCAACTATTTCAAAAATTTTAAAAGAAAAACAAAAATGGTTAGCAGTCATTGATAATAAGATCAGTTCAAAAATTTTTCATCACAAAAAAGTCAAATTTTCATTGTTAGATCAATCCATACAACTTTGGATTGAACAAGTAATAAGTGGCAAAATGTTTTTAACTGAATTAATAATCAAAGAAAAAGCAATTTTTTTGTCCAATCATTGAATTTATCAGATAATGCATTGAAGTTTTCTAATAGATGGATTTATCAGTTCAAAAAATGAAATAATTTATAAAATTATTAATTATATAGAGAGGCTAATAGTATACCATTAAAATTACTTCCAGATCAAAGAAAAAAATTACGTAAACTTATTGAAAAGTATCTATTAGAAAATGTTTTTAATATTAATAAAACAGGGCTCTTTTTTTACATAGCTCTATATCAAACACTTGCATTAGAATTATGTTCTGGATAGAAAAAGATAATTAAAAATTTTATAATTTTTATTTATTAATTTAAATATTCAGATTTTACTTTAGGATCATACATACATTACTGTTATATTGGTAACAAATACAATTGGAACTGAAAAATTAAAACCAACTGTTATTAGATCATCTATTTAACTCTGGACTTTATTTTATATAAATCATAATACTTTACCTATTACATATTAGGCCAATTCAAAAGCTTGGATGTGAAGTGATATTTTTAGAGAGTGACTTCAAAAGCTTGATGAAAAGTTTTGCTTGGAAAATTGGCAAATTTTATTGCTAGTTGATAATACTTCAAGTTATTATAATCCTAATAATGATATAAATCATGAAAGTCCTAATCTCTCAGGCTTAGATAATGAAAAATCAGATAATAATAATCAAGCCAGATCATTTATTATTATACGTGATATCCAACATGGTTATCCAAGGATAAATACCATCAGTAGATGAGATAGACAAAATTCTCATAGTTAGAGTTATTAGGATAGTGGTCATGCTCATCCTTACAGAATTTCTGATCTTTCCAACATTCACTTAACAAATATCAAACTTGAGTTTCTATCACCTAATACTACTGTATATCTTCAGTTAATGAATGCAGAAATAATTAACAATTTTAAAGCAAAATATAAATGGAAATATATATAGCATATATTGAATCAATTTGAAAAAGGCAAGGATTTTAAAAAGTAAGGAAATTTATTCTTTAGTAATGCACTCAAAATTACATTATTCTGTCATTTTTTGTTATTATTTTTCTATTATTTTCAATATGGGAGATCTCCTGATTTATATTCTTTATTTAGAAACAAAATTAATATCAAAGATATCATATATTATGTCGTGATATCATGGGATGAAGTTGAGAAATTAACTATTATAAATTATTAGTAGAAAATAGGAATTCTTCTATTGATCTCAAATGCTAAAATTGAAGATACTACCAGTATTGAACAAGACTTAGCCAATAGTGAAGAAGATAATATTAGAAATTTGATCATAGATCTAACAATGAAATTTCCAGATCCAACAATTGAACAGGAATTAAATGGATATATCAAGTTTAACAATATGCAAATACCTACAGAGGAAGCACTTAATAAAATGCAAATCATTGAAATCATATTGGGTGAATATCAGGAATATAAAAAGGATAATTCTAATGATACTGATAAAGAGCTGCCTGAAATTTCTATTTTGAAAGGATTGATTGGATTAAAGAAATTTGTCAATTTTTTTGAGTAACAGGAAAGTAGGAATTTTATGTAGAAGATTTAAAGATTTTAAGAAAGTATTTACTAATAATGGAATGAAAAAATATAGAATCTAAACAACAGAAATCAATTATTAATTTCTTTGGGCCTGTTTATAGAGTTTAGAATATTAATTTCAGATTAGTTAGCCAAAGAAAAGATACTTATTTCATGAAGTCATTGAAGATTAATATTTGATTGTTGGTCATCTATTTTTTGATAATATTCTACTGAGTGTAATTTTTCATTTCATATAAAGGATCATGCTTTTCCAAAATAATTATCTCTCTAAAGTCATATCAGATTGATACTTTATATAGTGTGACTATATAGAGAGAAACTCCATATAGTCACACCCATATATAGTTATAGATTAAACATATTACTAACCATATGATACTAGAGAGGTATGATTGTATAATAAAATTTATTTAATATAATTATATATTAATAAAACTATAATATTAATAATTAAATATTTATTTAAGCTTTATATATAAGATATAATTTCTATTATAAAAAAATTAAAATATATATATAGTTAAATTTTTTATATTATTATACTTAAAAATTAGATAATTAAAAAGAAATATAATTATATAGATTTTTTTAATTATAATTAGTTAATAATTGAGAAACTTAAAAAAGATAATTATAAAAAAATCAAGATTGATCTCTAAATTAGTTTAAATATATTATTCAAATATTTATATAATTAAATTACTAATAAATTTTTATTTAAACTATTTAAATTATTCAAGAGTTAATTTTAAAAAAGATATAACTAAAGATAACTTTTTAACTAGTTGTAGTTTGCAGTAGCTAATCAGAAAGTTACAACAGAGTTGTGATAGCCAATTAGAGAATTATAATAGAATTACAGCTAGTTATAGCTTCTATCACTAGATATAACTATAAAAAATTTAATTATATTTACTAAAAATATAAATTATTATTTATAATAATCTTATAATAAAACTTTAAAATTATATCTTATAATAATTATTATATATAATTAAATCTTTTTATAATTATTATACTTAAAAAAGAAAAATTAAATAACTAAAGAGAGATATAATTATAAAGAGATTTTTTTAATTATAATTAATTAGTAATTGAAAAATTTAAAAAATATAACTATAAAAAAATATAATTATAAAAAGATTTAATCTTAATCTAATTGAAAATATTTAAATATATTTAAGTATAATATTAAGAAAAGAGTTAAAAAATAATAATATAAAAAAATTTAATATTACAAAAAAATCTTTTTAATATATTAATTCTTACTAGTATTAGTAATATCTAAATATATTCAGACTTACAGTGTGTTATGAAAAAAATAATGCACAAATAAACTTGTATATCTCAATAATTATCTAACAGAAATAAATAAAAGTGAACTTATTTTAAAACTTATAAATTACTTTATTAAATATAAAAATTTTAATATGAAATTCTATCTTCATTTTTTTATAATATTAATTTACAATAATTTTTAATAGATCTGATTAAATTTTATATAATATCCTGAGGAATTTTATTCCACTTTTCTATTATAAATTATTTTAATTTATCAATATCTTTAAATATTTTTTTTACATTATTTTTAATAATCTATTACATATTCTTGATAGAATTCAAATCAGAACTGTTAGATAGCTACTCTATTACATAAATATTATTTTAGAGTAAAAAATTCTTTGCAATATATAATAAAATGTGTTTAAGATTATTATTTTTTATAGATATCATCTTCTACTATATAATTATTAGTCAAATAAAACAAATAGAAGAAGCTGAATTTGTAAAATATTTATATAAAAGAGACTATTCATTATATTTATAAAGTAAAATACTAATCTTTTAATTTACATGTTATTTTTTTCATAACATATTGTATATTAATATAAAAGAAGAATATATAAAATATTAACTTTTTAAATATATAAAGTTTTACTTTTATATATTCTGAAAATATATATTTTATTTTATATTTTATTATAAGTTATTTAAAAAATTGTACTTAAAATAATCTTAGTTCTTAAAAAAATAATTTTTATAATACAAATAATTATACTTAAAATGAAATTAATGTTATACTTATTTGTAATAAAATAAAAAAAATTATAGAAGTGTAAAATAAAAATTAATTATTAGAAAAATAGCATTCAATTTAAGAAAGACTCTAAATTTGTTCTTAAATTTTCAATAAATGATACCATTTGTTCGATATCTCCTCTCTTTTCAATTCTCTAATAAAAATTATACATTCTTTTCATTAACTCATTTATAATTTGTCATTAACCCTCTGTTGCTCTTTTAGATTTCTTTGATATCTGCACTCTTAATAGTATATCATCATGATACTCGTAAATTTCAAATCTATTCTCTTTAAAAATTTGCTAAAAATAACTCTAGTCATTAATGGTTAAAAGTTTTCTGGTACTGTACATGTGCCTGTGGAAGATGTGTCAGCAGGATATTTGATATTTGCAAAAGAATAGGCAATGATAATTAGATGATATCAACCCAGATGCAACTTTACCTTTTTTTATTCTTTTTTCTAAAATGTAAACTTTAATAATTTTTTGTTGTATTAGGAATGGAAAATTATTTACTTCTTTGAGAATTTCATAATTGACCCCAATAACCAAAACTTTTTAGTACAGAACTTGAATGCAGTATACTCAGCATCTGATCATTTTTTCATATTAAGTTTAATAACTTGATCACATATACCTGAAAAAAATAATCATTAGTAAAAGCAAGAAGTTGGTAATATGATCACGTAACAAAATATGATTGGGTAATGAAATATGACTGCATAACAATATATAACTGTGTAATAAGATATGATCGGATAATGAACATGATCATAAAATGTAATAATCATGTAATGAATAATAAACAAAGTATTAGAAACTCTAATCATACTAATTAAACTGTGCCAAGAAGATGATATCAATTTTAATTCACTATAGTATGACTCTAAAGCATTTATCAAAGTCACTTGCAAATGGATGGAAGAATGCTATTGAGACTAGAGCCTACTGATATATATTCTGCATGTAATATTTTATGATGTACTATTGTGTAAAGATGATGAATTGCTTCTTGAATAATATTATCACAACTAATCTTCAATATTGCTTAGATCATCTTGTCGTAGATTTTTGCATCATAGATTTTACTCATCCAAGTTCTCATGATGTGCATAGTACAGAAGATAACATCACATTTTTGTATGTTATCTTGAGGACTTGGAAACGTGATTGTGATGCTATTTGCTTTAATATTGCTTTGATCAATAAGAAAATATTGTGGTTTCCTAGTCTTGTACAAATTGTTGAATTATGATTAATGTCTCTGTCACCATATCACTATCTTCATTACTTACAAAGAAATGCATTCCTATATCTCAGCACCTATAACTGTTATGACTATATATGTGAACAGACATCAGTTGTATTTATTGGTATTGTAAGTGAAATTGATAAGAGTCAGCCAATCAAAATGCTGATTTTTTGGCTTGCTCAGGATGCACAAAAATAAAACTTTTGGAGAATTATTGAAGAATTTTATAGTACTCAACATGATATTTTTGTTTTTTAAAAAAGGAACTGCATCATTGATATTTGCTTCTAGCTTGATATTACCAAGAAGCTTGATATTGTGGAATCGGTACTTGATGTTAATTACCTCTCTATTACCTCTCTTTATTTTAATTCTTTAATGCTTGAGCCAAAACTCTTTAATGCTTGAGTCAAGATTAATTCATTTGATACATATTTCTTAACTGCCTTGATAATTGTTTTGAATTATAATTAACTCATACATTTGATACCATTCATTATCAAATTCTGGTAACTTGTATTTTTCAAATATAACAAATTTTCTTTTAATTCAAAATGCTTTGTCTTGACCTGTTACTTTGAATTTGTACTATTGAAATTTTTTAAGACTTCATATATTTTTGCAAAGTACTTATCTCTTGATACTTTTTTATTAACTCTTTCTTGTTAATAAGACTAGTAATGATAACTGTTATATTTGCCAGGTGTGATTGGTAAGAAAGTGCATTTGCAATCACATTATTTTTGTCAGATTTGTATTTTATTTCAAAATTACTGGCTTATAGTATTTCTAATCAGCAAGCCTATCTCTTGAAAAGGTTATATTATGTCTTGATATATTTCAGAGAGGCATGATCTGTAATTACTGTGAACTTTTGCTCTTCTAAATATGACTTTCAGAGCCTAATACAGTGTCTGATAAAAGTTTCTCCATATCTTTAATTTCTGAAAGATCATATGTAGGCATACAAAATTTTACATAAATGTAATACATCACATATACTGATTATATTAAACTTCTTCAAATAGGATATATAGTAAAAATATCCATACTGCTTATATAATGATTTTTTCAGTTAAAAAAATATCTCTTTCTTTATATAAATAATATAAAATCATCTTTTTAATCATCCATCCAAAAGATCTCAAGCTTTCAATGTATGAGATAGTAAAACAGATTCATTATAATGAAAAAACAGTTCAAGAATAGGTAAAAAGATGACAAAAAAACAAAGATCTAAGTGATAAATCAAGATTAAATTATCAAAAAGTCATCATCAAAAGACAAGACAAATAGATTTTGGAGCTGACAAAAGAGAATATAGATATTACTATCTCAGAAATTCACCATAAATTTCTAAAGCAGAATATAGATATTCATATATATTATTCAATAACATCTTGATGAAGATGGAGCTCATTATTATGAAAAATTCATGAAGTCTTTACTTGAAGTGAAATATCAAAAAAAATATCTTTTATGAATAAAGAAGTATAAGAATTTTAATTAGAATTCTATGATATTTACTGATAAAAATACTTTCTACTTGAATTAATGACTAAAAAAGACTTGGCAGTTTGTTAAGACAAGAAAAATAATCCATTCTATCAAGTATCTATTGAAAATTTATATATG